ATGCTTCTTCTGCTCTAACAATCGCAATTTGTTTGATTTCTTCTGCAGCTGTCTTGTAATACAAGAAATCTTTATTGAGACTGGCTTGTCTTTAGTTTATTTTTGAGATACTTTGGTCAGGAGACAAATCTAAAATTCCACAATTGGCTACGTATTTTCCTGGCTAGTAACTTCACCTTTCTTCTTCCCGACAAAAGTTTTCCATTTCTCTGTATTCTTCGGCTTTATGAAGGGCAATGGTGGATCTGTTTGAAGTCATTGCGAGACATTTTCTTCTCTCTCATCTACACAAGAACACCTGGCAGTATATATATATATATATATATATATATATATATATGCAAGACTTCGCCCATAGTGCACAGTAAATATCCCTTAAGGTCAACAATAGAACAAGTACTCTATTGTTCTTTTTTGCTTTTGCGGTCTCACTTTTCTCTTCCTGCATAGAAAGTGCATCAATTGAATATTTCAAATTACTTCTTACTTTGTGTCACTACACAAAAGGGGAACTTACATTTAGTTAGAGAGCTATACCATTTCTACCCAAATTTTTCTACGCCATATTTTATTATTGTCTTTTATAGATGAATCAACCTTTACTTAATTACTTAAAAGTAGAGTTTCCATTGTTCTCAGTTTTTACTTGTTTATAATTAATCTTATTTTAATTACTTGTTTACGCCTAACAGTATAAGATATAACAGCCTTAATTTGTCTGACATCCGAAAATGAAATATTGTCCTTATTCATATTTAAATGACTCTTGAAGAAATAATGGCTCTTCTTAAGAATAAGGCTGTCATACTTTGAGTATATTTGTAGATTGTTTAGGGGTCCGTCACACTCGGGTGATATGAAGTTATGTTCTGGGTGATGTTTCAAGTACTGGGTCTAAACTGCCGCTGCCTCTTTTCTTGCGTGAACAGGTCCTGGGTAGAGAGATTAAGGGTCATGCCGGAGATACCCTAATCTCCACATTGCTAAAATGTCCCAATAGGAAGTCAAATTCCGATACACATGATTCCAACACGGTTACAGGAATTGCATGGACGTTGCTAAATACAAGCATGAATTGCTTCAGGGCCTCCGACACTAGAATTGCACTCACGGTTGACTCTCGGGGCCTTTCTTAAACGTTGCTATAGCTACAAGGTAGCGACAGATTTTAATAAAAAAAAAAACTATTTTCTGGCAATACGAGATCCGTTTGACTAATGTATACTCATATATAAATATACACACACATAAAGAGATACATACTTCTTCAGAAACAAATAGGATTGAGGACAGAGACAGTCTGCCAGTGTTTTTTATAGGGATATATCGAACTATGTATGAGCGGAAGAGTCTAAATATTTTGGGTGCTGGCAAATATTTTGAGTATCTGTCTATATTTATAAGTATGAGGTATTATGTACACTATTTACATTATTTCAAACTATTGTCCCTTTTTGTCGCCATATCTTTATATTTTCATCTTCCAGTATCTATGTATTTCTGAGATGAGGTATTATGTACAAAAATTTACATTATTTCGGACTATTGTCCTCATTTTTCGCCATATTTATTACAACGTTTCCCCCTTCAGTATCTCCTCATATTACGCTCCGGCCTTTTTCCTCAAGGACACGTGGCGCAATACATAATGAGAGGACCCAAAGAGTAATTCAATACCAAACAAGGCAGTGGAGAACTTTCAAAGGGGAATTAACAAGAGATAACTGATAACTGGCATCCATTAAACATGGCACGTGGAACTAGAACAGTCTATCCAGTAAACGAAATAAAGGGTTCAGTTCAACATTCCAACCACCTGAAGAAGGCCAGAGCGTAGAACGGCCAAAATGTTGCAATAAATATGGCAACAAAGATGAGGACAATAGTGTATATTTTGACTATATCTGTAAAAACGTTATAGATCCTGATTGTTTCAAAGAAAATTATAAAAGAATTTTTTAATACAAGTAAAAAATTATCTACCTTTCATCATATATCTTTGGGTTTAGCACACTGCCATCTGACTATAGTTGGGACAATTGTGGTCACATGTTTGAATTTTGAACTTGATCGCTCCAGTTATGTTGCTGCTGTTACAGTGTAAACATGGCCACTCTACTAGTAGTGTGCACCATGAAGGGACATTAGAAATATTAACATAAATCAAAAAGAATGTAATATTCCTCAAATAATGCTAAACATATCAAACTACTATACCACAATCAAATGCATTCTAAGTATAAACAAGATGAAAAAAGAACATTTCATAAGTACTAATATATTCCCCACTGATCCCTGTAAAAAATCAAACTAATTATATAATATACTAAATTTAACACAACTAACTTAATCATACGCAATACCTCTTCTCCGTCAACTAGTGTTTTGGAAAACAACAACATTGTATATCAGTTTAAATGTACTTTCGGGATTGTATCTCCGAAAACAAATAAGTGCATATATTGGCTTGACGGCCACAAAACTATCAAGACGTCTTACACTTCATTTATCGGATACAAGCTCCAATGAAGGACATTTAAAAACACTTTTCTGTCCACTTTCACAATACAGGAAATTATTTATTGACAACACCAATATACTACACCATGAAAATAATAAACAAAAATTTCAAATTCTCGTGGACTTTTATATCAAAAACAACCACCCAACACTAAACAAAATGTATTATGAGTATAGCAGCAATGTCTTAAATGCATTTGAGGACTAACATTTAAAACCAATTTGAAATTTACCATCTCTGGCTATTCCCCTTGCACTAGGAACAAAACATCGTAAATACAACGGTTGATTTTAAAATAATTATAGCAGAGTTCGCGCTTTTTTTTTTTTTTTGTAAAATCACCATCACAACGATCACGGTTACATTAAGTTTAGCTTCGCAGTTCACCCCTGAGGATGATCTCAGACGAGATGGAATGTACTCGGGTTAACAAAAACTACGGCGTTTTCCTTGACGAATTTCATCCTAAAATCAAGAAGATAATTAGAAAACTAGAAAGGATTATTATAAAAATACATAAAGATAATATTTCTATAATAAGTTGTATGGATATGACTTTGTGACTCTTGGTTTCAGCTTTTGCGATCATCAGACAAACTCATATCCATACAACTTATTATGTTAGCTCTGTCACTGATATTGAGCACTTTCCACTAAGTACCGCGCATATAAAATAATATATAATACCTCCCCACAGCTATGGGTTAATTAGTAAACCTTGTGTCACCAAATCACTATTGTCGCCTCCCCAAATTCTTCCAGTCTAAAAACATTTTCTGGCTTTAGATAACCTGCAAGACGTTGGTAAACAGTAATAAATGGATCAATCAATAAGTAAACGAAGGCGCATTGGAATAGCAAAATATGCCTTTCAAAAGTTAAGTAAAATACTAATAAACAAGACATTTTCCTTAGAAACAAATAAAAGAGTACTCAGCAGCTGTTATATAATATCAACTATTCTATATGACAGTGAGTGTTGGATAATTTCCTCAAAATGAAAAAGAGGAGCAACTGAAAATGAAAAATGCACAAAGCAGGCTTGGAAAATTTGACACTCACAACGCATACTGAAAGCAAGTACGCAAATGGGAAGCAAACAGCATAGAGTGTGTATAAACAGATGGCAGTACAGGGAGGTGGAGTGTAAAAACGTTAAGATCTAGAATGGCTAGGAAATTGTGGAGAGCCATTGTTGCGGACAACATGAAGAGGAGAATTATTTTGTTTACAGCGGGGGGGATATTTATTTTCAGAGGACGAGGCTAGTTTATCATCATTAACCTAAGCTATCTTAAAGATGAGGATGAACATGTGTAGGAAAATCATTACAGTATGTGGGGCCGGTGGAGTAATGGATAGCGGCCCGGAGAGCCGAGTTCGAATTCCAGTCGAATCCATTACATTCACTTACGTGCTAAAACCCTTAGGAAAGGTATGAATCCTTTTCTTCTCCCCGCAGAGATGGGGGGGGGGGAAGAAGAAGAAGAAGAAGAAGAAGATTCATACCTATTATGGATAAATAGCAGAACAGACCTAATATTGGGAAATAGCAGGGCAGATCGGATGGATAGCCTTGGATGGCAACTGATCTACCGCAAAAAGAAATGGCAACTTACTACAGGAAAAAAATCTGCCTACGCGTGTATAGCTGACGGATATGGGACTGAGCAAAGTCATTGGACAGGAGGTAGGTGTTGGTGAGTGACCAGTTATTTAAATACTTTTGATCGACTTCTGGTAGACATTTGTTTATCTGTTCTTTGAAATAATCGGGAAATATTAAATATGGCATAGTTTCTCCGTCAAGATTTGTAGTTGGACACTACTACGCAATAATGTAAAGTTTTCTCTTTCGTTAAATGTAACTTGCCGGCTGTTAAAAATTAGATCATGTCTTTTGTATATTTTGAGTATCAGACTTTCTTTCGTTTTGTTTGTGGTTCTTTCAAACTGCTGCCATTTTGTGTCAATCAAATCGACAGACAGATTGGTAAACATTGAAAAGGAAGGAAACAAAAAGAGAATGAGAATAAAAAGGAAAAGAGAAATAAAATAAAATGTCCATAAATCATAAAAAAAAGTTCAGGAAAATCCGTCAGGCGGCAGTTGCCATAGAAACTGTTAATAGAGGATTATTTTGTTTTCGCTTTATTGTAATCGATGGCTTCTTATCATAAGAATAGTTCTCTAACAACGCTGAGAGATTTCAAAAGGCTTTTTGAAAGCGGCACGTGGGGATATCAATATCAAAGTCTTTTAATTTGGACAGATATATATATATATATATATATATATATATATATATATATTGTGAGAGATCCAGAAATCCATTATATTATTTGGCGTTTAGCCAGCAGTTTTAATTCTTACATGGCTTCGGTATTTTCCACGCAGCCTCCCAGAAATAGAGAAAGAGTAAAGGAAAAAATGAGAAAATAACGTAACTAAGCTGAGTAAAAGCGCTGGAATTAGTTTGTTAGATAGATAGATAGATAGATAGATAGATAGATGAATAGATAGATAGATAGATAATAGATAGATAGATAGATAGATAGATAATAGATAGATGAATAGATAGAATTAGATAGATAGAAAATGAAATAGATAGATAAATAGATAGATAGATGATAGATAGATAGATATATAGATAAATAATAGATAGATAGATAGATAGAAAGATAGATAGATAGATAGAATGAATAGATAGATAGATAGATAGATAATAGATAGATATGATAGATAATATATAATAGATGAAAAAATGAACAGAGATAGATAGATAGATAGATAGATAGATAGATAGAAAGATAGATAGATAGAAAACGAACATCTATAGATAGATAGATAAAATTTACAGATAAACGAACAGAGATAGATAGATAGATAGAAATGAAACATAGATAGATAGATAGAATATAGATAGATAGATAGATAGATAGATAGATAGATAGATGAATGAAAAGAACAGATAGATAGATAGATAGAAAATGTAGATGAGATAATAGATAGATAGATTATTAGAATAATTGTCAGATAGATAGAAGATAGATAGATAGATAGATACTATAAATAGATAAATATAGATAGATAGATAGATAGATAGATAGATAGAAAAAGATATGATACAGAGATAGATAATAGATAGATAGATAGATAGAAAACAGAGATAGATAGATAGATAGATAGATAGATAGATAGACATGGATTGAGAGATGAAACGACAAAGATAGATAGATAGATAGATAACATAGATAGATAGATAGAAACGAACAGAGATAGATAGATAGATAGATAGATAGATAGATAGATAGATAGATAGATATGAACATAGATGAGAAATAGATAATAGATAGATAGATAGATAGATAGATAGATAGATAGATAGATAGATAGATAGATAGATAGATAGATAGATAGATAGATAGATGAATAGATCTATAGATATAGATAGATAGATAGATAGATAGATAGATAGATTGAGAAAACGAACAAAACCCAAGATAACAGAGATAGATAGATAGATAGAAACTGATAACGAACAATGAATATAGATAGATAGACAATCAACCGATAGATAGATAGATAGATAGATAGATAATAAATTATAGATAGATAGATAGATAGAAACATTGATGTATCAACGTTTAATACCTGTAAATAAATAGATGATAGATAGATAGATAGATTAAATAGATAGATCGATAGATAGATAGATAATGATAATAGATAGATATCTTAAAGAAACAGGACATCTTCATCGATTACCGATAGAGATAGATAGATTCTGAAGAACCATAAATAGATAGATAGATTCATAGATAGATAGATATATAAACAATGAACAGAGATAGATAGATAGATAGATAGATAGATAGATAGATTCATAGAAAACATGGAAATAGATCAGATAGATAGATAGATAGATAGACAGATAGATAGTTCTTCTCGTTCTGATATATCAAAATAACAAGATTTAGATAGATAGATAGATAGATAGATAGATAGATAGATAGATAGATAGATAGATAGATAGAAAAAGAACAAGATAGATAGATCCCGATAGATAGATAGATGAAAACGAAAGAGAGATAGATAGATAGATTTTAGATAGATAGATAGAAAATGAATATGAGATAGATAGATAGAAAGAAATTCATAGATATTTTTTTTGTGATAGAAAAATAGATAGATAGATAGATAGATAGATAAAACTAGATAGATAGATAAATATGGATAGAGATAAAAAAAAAGAGATATTTAGATAGATAGATAGATAGATAAATAGATAGATAGATAGATAGATAACGAAATTGAGATAGATAGATAGATAGATAGATAGATAGATAGATAGATAGATAGATAGATAGAAAATGAACAGATAGATAGATAGATAGATAGATGCAGATTCCATAGATAGATAAAAAGAACAGACTGACATAGATAGATAGATAGATAGATAGATAGATAGATAATAGATAGAAAGATAGATAGATAGATAGATGAATAGATATAGATAGATTCAAAGATGTTAACAGACTGAGATAGATAGATAGATAGATAGATAGATAGAAACGAAGATAGATAGATAGATAGATAGATAGATTTAAATTTTATCCCTATATAGATTTATAGATTGATAGATACATAGCTATAGATAGATAGAAACTAAAAAGATAGATAGATATGATAGAAAAGATAGATGTAATAGAAATAAACAATAGATAGATAGATAGATAGATAGATAAATGAACAGACTGAGATAGATAGACAGATAATAGAAAGATTTATAGAAACATAGATAGATAGATAGGTTTATAGATAGATAGATAGATAGAAATTATATAGATAGATAATATAGATAGAAGATAATAGATAGACAGAAGAAACATAATAGATAGATAGATAGATAGATAGATAGATAGATAGATAGATAGATAGATAGATATTTAACGAACGCATTAGATGAACTTATAGATAGATAGATAGATAGATAGATAGATAGATAGATAGATACGAAAAGAGATACATAGATAAATAGATAATGAATAGATATAAAACGAACAGACTGAGATAGATAGATAGATAGATAGATAAATAGATAGATAGATAGATAATGAACATGGATAGATAGATAGATTTGTAAAAGATTTTTACAGACTGAATAGAATAAATAGATAGATAGATAGAATAGATAGATAGATAAATAGATAGATAGATAGATAGATAGATAGATAGATATATAGAAAACGAACAGAGATATATAGATAGATAGATAGATAGATTCCTAGATAGAAAAGATTATATACTTAGAAAGATAGATAGATAGATAAATAGATAGATATTTTAAATTATATATATATATAGGCCGATACATAGATAGATAGATAGAACCCAGATAGATAGATAGATTTATAGATAGATAGATAGATAGGATTGAAACGAACAGAGATAGATAGATAGATAACATAGATAGATGTATAGATAGATAGAAACTAAATATGAAATGCAATCCATAGATAGATAGATAGATAGATAGATAGATAGATAGAAAAGAAATGATTGATAGATAGATAGATAAATAGATGATAGATAGAAACATGAGATAGATAGATAGATAGATATAGATAGGATAGATAGATAGAAAACAACAGAGATAGATAGATAGATAGATAGATAGAAAACGAGATAGATAGATAGATAACATAGATATATTTATAGATAGAGAGATAGATAGATAGATAGATAGATAGATAGATTGATGAAGAAACAATAGAAATATGTTTAGAAGATTCTTAGATAGATAGATAGATATAGATAGATAGATAGATAGATAGAAAAAATTTGCCTTAGAGATAGATTGATAGATAGATAGAAAAATTTCTAACTCAAAAAGATAGATATAGATCAA